CCAGGGAGTTTCTGCTGTCACTCGTGTCTCCCTGCGGCCACCGGCTCTGCTCAGGCAGGGGGTGAGCCTGCATGAGAGCTGGGACGCAGCACCCCAGCTTGTTCGGTCCCTCTGTCACCAGCCTCTGCAGAGCTCACCTAGTGACAACCTTGAGTGTCCTTACTTATGTCGTCCCCAGACAGTGCCAATAAAGAGGATTTTAGACTTTAGCCCAAGCAGGGATGTTATTCATTCCCATAGAGCTGACTTTTCACTGCATAAAACATATAATCCAGACTCAAATCAAAGCAAGGTCGGTGCAGTGGCTGGCCAGCCTGTCTCTGGGGGGTTAGCATGTTATTTCAAAGACAAATCAATCTATTTTTCCTCTCCCTCTTCATCTGAACATTTGTTGCTCCCCATTCCTCCCTGTCTCTCCCTGTCCTTTTCATTACTGCCTTGAATTTCGCAAGGAGGGGGAGATCTCCACCCAGAGAACGTGGACAGACCTCTTCTCCCCAGGGAAGGATGCGAAATGTCAGCCTCCTGCCCAGCCCCTGATGCTGCTCATTCAGAGCCTGGAACCAGGTACATCAATAATTCACCGCACGCTTTCCTGAGCCTGGCCATTTGCTGCGCCTCTACCACCGGCAGCCCTGGTTCCCCTCTTGGCTTCGAGGCTGTTTGGTCAGGGTCTACCCGTGCCCACTGACTCCAGCCCTTCTGGTCTGAGCACAGGTGTTATTCACAAGGTGCTGGGTTTTCGTGCTGGCCCCAGAAAGCATTTTATTTTGAGTTCCTGGCTAGAAAATTTACCTACCAAAGGGGCTGGAGCCCCCACGGCTCTACACTGCGGTTAGACAGCAGCGCAATGCAACATCCTGGGCATTTCTTTGGGTACCAGCTCAGTACTCAGTCAGAACTCCGGCTTTAAGTTGCAGGTGCTGTGGGGCAAGAAATCTGCTTTCCTCTTGACAGAAATTGAATTCAAGAGCCCCAAAAAAGAGAGAGGAAAAGGATGCTGCTGAGATGGTCTCTGCGGGTTTCCTGGCACCTCTGCTTTGTTTTGTGGCGGACAAGGTAAGTGCTGGTAGGTGCCACATCTCAGCCCAAGGGCATGCCACCTCCTGGGCTGCTCTCACCTGCACATCTTTGTGTAGCTGCTCTCCTCTCTCCTTCCCACCATGCCCAAACTCCATCATCCCCAGCGGAAAGACTGCCTTTTTCGGCGCATATTCCCCTTCCTTGGATGCCTCTTTGACATTGATTTGGCTCTGAACAGTCAATGTCGTGCCCTCACTAACATGGGTAACACTGGCTGAGCCTTGCAGAGATAACAGCAGAGCTTTGGAAGACCCAGTGAGCACCAAGGAAGTCCTCTGATGACAGATGAAGATATACAAGAGCAGCAGAGGCTTTCTGGCCAATTAAAAATGGGAAAGGAGCTAGATAGCAGAGTGCAGGTGGCCACCAAACTCCTGCTCCGGCCACCCAGAGGATTTGCTCCTCCGAAGCAGCCGAAGCAGGGCTCGTTGGAAGCGTGGCTGTTTCTGCCTTTCCTGTGTTGCTGGTGGTGTTCAGAGCAGAGGCAGGAGGGAAAGGACACGGGGAGTAATGCAGCCTGCAGCTCCCCTGCCTTAATGCACTCAGGAGCCCAGGGATCTATTGCATAGGGCAGTTACTCCTGTGACCTGATGTCCAGGAAGGGGCAGAGAGTGTTGTCTCATTAAATATTTGGCTTTGCAAGCAGGAGGACCCATACTTTGGTTTGGTTGACCGTAAAGTTGAGCCCATTTTTAGATTCTCCAGTGCCTAGTAAGGTCTCCGACAAAGCTTAAGCCTGAGCTGGAGGTTTTTGCCATCAAACTCTTCAAATCCCCCGTGGATTCTCCACTGACTCATTAGCACTGAGTTATTGCTGTGCTTCTCTTGCAGCAGGGACTCTAATAAAGTTCCTTTTCGCTAACCAGCCTGTTATTTTATGAAACTTTCCAGAACTGACAATCTCAGGGACCTCCTGCAGGTGTGACTGCAATTCTCTGTGTACTCAAAAGAGAAATGCAAGGACTGAAAGTACCGTCTCCCCTCTCCAAGCACAGGCAAAGACCAGCAGGAGGATGGATGCTCTCACCCCTACTTTGACACAGGAACAGCTCCACTTGCCTGTGTGTCCCTATATCTGCTCAGGGACGTGCACGTTTAAAGGAGGGGTTGCACAGGGTGCCGCAGCTTCTCTGCCCTTCATCTACTGCCAAAGGGGATGGCAATCCCTGAGAAAAACCTCAGGCCACCCCTGATCCAGGATCAAGGATGCCCGCACGCAGTACCATGCCATGGTGACACATCACCTCTGCCTGCCGTGCACCACAGGCACATGGAGTTTGGACCTGGTGGCGCTGGGGGTCCTGGAGGACCTCAGCAGGAGGCTTGGGGGGTGTGAGCTGGCAAGCCCTGCTGGGGGGATGGGGGCTGTGGGGCAGGGTTGGGAAGCTCCTTCGTACAGCTGGAGAGGAGGCACCCCAGAGCAGAGGGGCAGGAGGAACAAGGAGATGGTCTGGGGCAGCAGCGAGGAAGGGAGAAAAATGGAGCGAGGTGCTTGAGTACCAGGTGTCAGGCTGGGATCAGGCAGACCCAGACTCCCCCTCGTACCCGACCAGAGAGTTAGGGCTGTCAGGAGCTGTTGTTCCTTCTCTCCCCCACATACTACATTACATCTCTGGCGTGCCAGGGCTGCCTTCCCCCAGCCCCCATAAGATTATCAAAGTGCTGAGCCTCTGCTTGCCATGGAGATTTCTGCACCCTTCCAGCAAACGCATTTGCCGTGCAGGCCAGCAATTAAGCATGGAGGAGCTGCTGGGCAAAGCACCTCGGAT